CAAGAACCGGCAGAATTTTGAACAGCATATGGCCTCCTTTAGAACTGAAGTTTGAGCACTGTGTTTCTCTCACTTAACTTAAATAACATTTGAATGCAGAAGCCAGGGTTGAAATCCTTGCACCCCTAACCCCTCACAGCCCTTCCTAATATTAAAAAGAAGGAGAAGCAAATAGAAATGTTAACCCTTAAGATGCCAAGTAGAAACCCTAACCCAAGTAAAAGCAACTCAAACTGCACAAAGGATTTTTTAGCTTATGCTACGTATGAAAACATGTAACAAGTATAAAATAGGTGTTATCGCAATTTGGCTGCGGAAGTGGAAGTACACTTTAAGCACTTACCTAAAATAAGCATTTCAGCTTTTATTTAAAGTAAAAGATCCAATATCTCCAAATCAGAAACAGGAGTAAGCCCTCATTCACACTGTACTCAGCCGGTGCATACAGCTACGTGCTGCGTGCAGGGCCGTATCAAGCAGCTCCTGGGATAGACAGGTGCTGCGTGTGATTAGTACGCAGCCCCCGTCCTAAATGCCCCGATGTTTGCGCTATGGGTTTTGTTTTTTCCCACTTACCTTCGGTGCGGGAGAGCAGCGGCGAGTCAGCGCTGGTCCGGTGGGAGGAGCTCCAGGTGGGGTCCTAGTTTAGCTGGCCGGCGACTGCCTGAGGTGCCGCGCGTGTTGGGATCCTTTGGCAGTCGCCGGCCAGCTAAATTAGGACCCCACCTGGAGCTCCTCCCACCGGACCAGCGCTGACTCGCCGCTGCTCTCCGCACTGAAGGTAAGTGAAAAAAAACAAAAAAACAGAGCGCAAACATCGGGGCATTTTGACAAGGACAAGTACTTGTCAAAATGCCCTGTTTTTTCCGCCCTCACCCTGCAGCGCCCTCAGGCGGCCGCTTTACTTGCCTTGCGCTAGCGCCGGGCCTGCCTCACACAGGGTATGTGCGCTCTGCTCTGACTGACTCAGCTTCATCTATTGAACTCTGTAACAATGAGCTTCATCCAGCAAAGGAGAGAATGATATGTAACTATAGCTGAGCACCTCTCAGGTCGGTAAGAACATGAAACTCATAATATAAAACATTCCAGAATTAATTACTGTATATAAAAAAATATCCTTGTACATAATACATAAATGATGTACAAACATTTATACATCCCCTTTAAGCTCTGATGGTGAGAAGGTGAATAGCAGTGTTGGATTTCATTTATCCTGAAACATTTCTGACATCAACAAATTGCAATTGTCATATGACTGCAAAACGCTTCAGGGTTTGCCACAGATTTACATTATATGCTCCACACTCCTCCTCTCTATACACTGTGCTGTACATTATAGATTGCTCACTGCTCCTCTCTATACACTGTGCTGTACATTATATATTCCACACTGCTCCTCTCTATACACTGTGCTGTACATTATATATTCCACACTGCTCCTCTCTATACACTGTGCTGTACAATACATACTGCACACCATGCTCTCTCTACACCCTGTTGATGGCACACAGTAATATGTAAAACAATACCCATCCTGTAAATCTATTACAGGAGATATAATCTCTATACAAAGCAGCACATGTTCTCAGTGCTGTGCCAATGACTACAATGTATACTTGCCTGGACTGTATACGGAGTCTGGAGATTTCAGGGGTACCGCAGATCTGGTGGCGGTCATCCGGGAATGATTCCGCCCCTGCCGAGGTTCAGGTTGTTGGTTACTTGTTAACCTTTTATTTGCATTATTGAAAGAATGTTGTGTCCCCCGGACGTCTCCTACACAGCACAATACAGCACAATGTACATCAATGTCCGACCCCCACACAACACGTCTCATATGAAGAATGATCAATCTCTGGTTTTATTCTACACGACAATCACCTGATTCATCATCGGAGGTTCATATTTGTACACTAGACATGTATTTTCTCATGTAATTCCAAGGGGGCATACTTTCTTTTTCACACAACTGTATATACAGCACAACACTCTGTGCCAATGACTACAATGTATACTTGCCTGGACTGTATACGGAGTCTGGAGATTTCAGGGGTACCGCAGATCTGGTGGCGGTCATCCGGGACTGATTCCGCCCCATCCGAGGTTCAGCTTGTTGGTTACTTGTTAACCTTTTATTTGTATCATTGATAGAATCTCGTGTCCCCCCGACGACACCTACACAGCACAATACAGCACAATGTACATCAATGTCCGACCTCCACGCAACACGTCTCATATGAAGAATGATCAATCTCTGGTTTTATTCTACACAACAATCACCTGATTCATCACCGGAGGTTCATATTTGTACACTAGACATGTACATATTGAGGGTTATTCAAAAGCTTTGGCTGATCCTTCAGCTCGCTATGGCCGCCTCTGCCCTTCGGTTCAGTCAAACTGAAGGGCTGCTGTACGGGCTATTCACGGAGGTATCGAGCAGAAAAGGCGAGCCGAATGCCGCATTCGGCTACTCACTTACTGCCGTTTGGCCCCTATGAGAATGTTGGATTGGCTGAGTCGAAGTCCCTCGTAGAGCATGTTCGGCTGATCGAAGGCAGCCGATGTATGGCTGAAATCAGCCGTACTGAGCCGTAGTGACTAGCGGAATGTCGTTTGGCTCACTTCCCTTCGGCTCGGTTACTCACTCGGCTGCCTTCGGCAGATTTGTGTATAACCGCGTTTGTTTCATTCTGAATGGATATTCCTACAGATTTCATTCGATTGGCACAATCAGATGCATCCAAATTTCTGAATGTGAATGTGAGTCCGAATGCAAACAAATCTGAATGTTCTTTTAACGAAAATTTGGATCCGTCAAAATTTTGTTCAAAAGGAAACTAAACCGGACATGTGACTGTTCTCTGGCCAATCAGATTTTTTCTTTGGCTGTTGGGGGTGGCATTACAGGCACGGTCATGTGACTTCCTGTTGTGGATCGTTCCGAAATAAAAATTTGGACAGACGCAAAATCCGAATTGAATTTGTAATCCTAATTCCGAAAAAAGAAAGAAATAAAAATGCGAATTGATCCGAAACAAAGCAAAACACTGTCTTTGCGGGGTGACATGTCTAATGTCCGCAGTCATTGAGTGGACCATGAGCTCCTCCGTATACCATAGTGTTCTAGAATCACATCTGACAGCTAAAGCTTGGCTGAAACTGGGTCATGCAACAGGACAACGATTCCAATAATACCGGCAAATCTACAGCAGAACGGCTGAATAAAGAAAAGAATCAAGGTGTGGTAATGGCCCGGTCAAAGTCCAGACCTCAACTCCATTAAAATGCCGTGGTGTGACCTTAAGAGTGCTGTGCATAAACAAAGGCCTGCAAACCGCAATGGACTCAAGCAACGTTATAAAGACGAGCGGGCCGAAATTCTTCCACAACGATGTTGGAGTCTGATAACGTCACACAGAAAATGATGACTTCACGTTGCGGCTGCTAAAGGTGGTTCTATAAGCTGCTGAGTCATGGGGTGTACTTAGTTTTTCACACACGGCTTCTCCATTTTGGCTTTATGTTTGTAAGATAAATAATGACGCAATGGTGTGATGTGTCCTGCGTCGTTCTTCATCTGAGGTTGTATTTTCCTCATTCAAAGACCTGCTGAGGGTCAGATGATGTGTATTCTGTCCTGATACTTAGAACCATAGAATTCAAAGGGGGCGTACTTTCTTTTTCACACAACTACTGTATATACAGCACAACACTCTGTGCCAATGAATACAATGTATACTTGCCTGGACTGGATACGGTACTCCTCCACCAATCTGTTTCCTATACTCCACTATACACACTGCGCTATACGTTCCATACCCCACACCATTCCACTATGTATATAATGATATATATTATATACTCTATACTGATCCTCTCTGTATACAGAGTTGTATATTATATACTCCACACACTGTGTTCTGTATCTGTATACTTGCCTGGACTGGATACGGTTCTGTCTGGAGTTTTCGGGTGTACCGCAGGTTTGGTTTTGGTCATCTGGGAATGATTCGGCTTCTCCCGAGGTCCAGGTTGTGGATTCATTATTGATGTTTTATTTTTATTATGAATAGAATCTCGTGGTTGCCGGACGTCTCCTACACAGCACAATACAGCACAATGTACATCAATGTCCGACCTCCACACAACACGTCTCATATGAAGAATGATCAATCTCTGGTTTTATTCTACACGATAATCACCTGATTCATCACCGGAGAATAACTTTTGATTTTCGTTATCCTGATTTTCAGCTTCCTGCTCAGAGCGTCTTCCTCCTGTATCAGAAAAACAAAACAAACTTAATGATCATCACGTAGTTATGTTTCCTTGTTTATAGCGGGAGGCAGAAAATCCAAAAGTAGAAAAAGATTCCAGAGTTACACTGTTACCTTCTACAATACAGGCTCCCCACTCTGTACACTGTGCTGTACATCATATACTCCACACCTCCCCACTCTGTACACAGTGCTGTACATTATATATTCCCCATATCTGCACTATACAACATATACTGCACACCGTGACCTCTGTACACCCTCCTGATGGCACACAGTAATGTGCAGAACAATACTCACCCTATATGCTGTGCCAATGACTACAATGTATACTTGCCTGTAGTGTATGCAGATCTGGTGGCGGTTGTCTGGGAATGATTCGGCTTCTCCCGAGGTTCAGGTTGTTGGTTACTTGTAAAACTTTTATTTGTATTATGAATAGAATGTTGTGTCTCCCGGACGTCTCCTACACAGCACAACACAGCACAATGTACATCAATGTCCGACCTCCACACAACACGTCTCATATGAAGGAACATTCATCTCCTCCACCAATCAGTATCCTATACTCCACTTTACACACTGCGCTATACATTATATACTCCACACACATCCACTAAGTATATAATGATATATGTTATATACTCCATACTGCTCCTCTCTGTATACAGAGCTGTATATTATATACTCCACACACTGTGTTCTGCTTCATGTAATACACACCGCCTCACTCTGTACACTGTGCTGTACATTATTACTCCACAGTGCTTCATTCTGTACACTGTGCTGTACATGATTACTCCACATTGCTTCATTCTGTACACTGTGCTGTACAATATCACTCCACATTGCCTCACTCTGTACACTGTGCTATAAATGTTGTTATGCACACAGTTCTACTATTCACATTCAGTTGTACATTATACACCCTCCCCCCCCCCCCCGAAAATCACATTACACATTAGTGTCCAATGACCGAGTGCCTGACTTTTCAGAGGGGGTGATGTCCAAGTCCCATCGCACTCCTGAGGTTACATCCTCCACGTGGCCTCTCTCTACATTAAATAACGCACATAGCTCCACAATATACACTGTGCTGTACATGCTATACACCAAACAACTCTGCTTTGTGCACTGTGTTGTACATTATATAGCCATAAAGACCCATCCTGTACCTCGCAGTGCAGAGCTTCCCCTGTGCTCAGTGTGAGGGAGAGGAGTACATTGTATACAGGACTTGCCTGAGCCGCGTATGGCTGAGTCTGGAGATTCCGAGGTTGTCGCAGGATTGGTGCCGGCCATCCGGGGACGACTCTCCTCCTCCGGGGAGCCATGTTGTCGCTTTCTTGTGAATTCTTCATTTGTATTGGTTGTATTGGTGATGGGGTCGGGTGGTTGCCGGACGTTATCTAAATGTACAAAGAAAGCACATCATCATCCTCCAATCTCCACACTGCGGGTTCAATATGGATGGATGATGGGGGTTATACTACATGGGAATCACCTGATATTACACCGGAGACCAAACTTGTTTTCTGATCCTCTGCAGTCTCAGCGCCCTTCCCTCTCCCTCCTGTACATAGAAACAATTGTATATTATATATATGAACATCGCTGCACTCTGTACACTGTGCTGTACATTCCATATTCTACATACAGTGGCTGCACTGAGTATACAATCTCTGTAACCTGTTCTGATGAATGGTTATTGTTGCAGCAGCTGAGACCTCATGAGTGCCGCTCCCCCGGGGTCCCTGCGTACACCAAGTGCAGCCATGCGTCAGCGGGTCCAACATTGCTGCAAAGGGTGAGCTGGACTTCTGTTTACTCTGTGTAGAATATACATTGTGCTGTGCATGATATACTGCCTACCCCTCTACTTCATACGCTGTTCTGTACATTATATACTGCACACCAGTCCGCTATGTACACTGTGCTGTACATTATATACTGCACACCACTCTACTTTATACACTGTGCTGTACATTATATATTTCACACCACTCTGTTCTGTACACTGTGCTGTACATTATATACTGCACACCCCTCTACTTTATATGCTGTGCTGTACATTATATACTGCACACCACTCTATTTTATACACTGTGCTGTACATTATATACTGCCCATGCCTCTACTTTATATGCTGTGCTGTACATTATATACTGCCCATGCCTCTACTTTATATGCTGTGCATTATATAATGAACACCACTCTGTTCTGTACACTGTGCTCTACATTATATACTGCACACCAGTCCGCTATGTACACTGTGCTGTACATTATATACTGCACACCCCTCTACTTCATACGCTGTTGTGTACATTATATACTGCACACCACTCTACTTTATACACGGTGCTGTACATTATATACTGCACACCAGTCCGCTATGTACACTGTGCTGTACATTATATACTGCATATCCCTCTACTTTATATGCTGTGCTGTACATTATATACTGCACACCACTCTGTTCTGTACACTGGGCTGTACATCATATACTACACACCCCTCTACTTTATACACTGTACTCTGCAATATATACACTGCACACCACTCTGTTCTGTACACTGTGCTGTAAATCATATAGTGCACACCAGTCCGCTCTGTACACTGTGATGTACATTATATACTTCTTACTACTTCACTCTGTGCGCTGCGCTGTACATTGTAGGCTCCACACAGCTCCAGGCTACACAGTCTGCTGTGTGTTACTGTGCGCTCTGTAGTATATACCCTCCTACCACCTGCTGTCCCCCCTCAGACTTACTAGACATCATGTTGTATGACCGGTCATGGACCCTTTACTAGGTTACCGCTAACATAGGAAGTCATGTGACACCGACTCTCCTCTCACACTCCTTCCCCGGATATCACACTTTGTATAAACAAGTAACAGAATCCATAGTAATCACCCCTTTAGTCTCCCCGATAGAAGAGAACATATTTCATATACAGAAGGGAATGAGCTTTATTTGTGGGAAGTACATGTGAGCCGGACTGATCTAACCAGGTGCCAGGTTTCCCACAAGGCCAACCGAGGCCCGGCCTCGGGGCAGCAGGGAGTAGAGGAGTGGCAGGGGTGGGGGAATTCCTATCTCCCGACACTCAGGACATGCAGTTCTGGGCACTGGGCGGGTAGTTGTTTTCTACATTTAGCCCGGCTTTTGGCAAGCAGAGCTAGATGTACAGCGGGGAAACCGCCGCTTGTTTTGTACAAGTGATCCCGGCGATGTCGTCAAGATCACTTGTATGCAGCCTGCAGGTGTGCCATTCTCCATTGGGGGATGGGGGAGGTTGGCGGGTAGGGGGCCGCATTGAAGAACCTGGCCTTGGGGCAGCAGAGAGCGTAAATCCGGCCCTGGATATAACCCACTTACCTCTTTTCTTGCACCACTTTATCGTAATGATAATTACTATGAGAATCACAACACCGACAGTCACACATACAGAGATGATGATGATGATGAGGAGGAGGTTCTGTTTAGTTCTCTCTTCATCTGCATGATAGAAAGCACCAATATCAGGCCAGAAAAATATGGAAATATTGTGACATAACGATTGTTACAAATCAGAATTAATTGGGAAGCTGGAAGTTTACAGTATATGCTCCTTGAAGAAGAACAGAGCGGTGGAGTAGATCTTACGTCAATTGAGTTCACTTATTCCTTTACGAGCAAGCATTCCCTATCCTGACCAGTGACGGTTCTAATGAGAACTGGATGGACTATATGAGTACAGAAGCAAGCTCCTTTCGACTCCAGTCAAAATGTTTTATTTATTTATTTTTGGATATAGCAGGGAAGAGTCAGATCCTTTCAGGGTGTATTACCTCCTGTTGGGTGTATTGACTCTTCACCCTCAAACCCTTTCAAGAAACCTCCTCAAAAGGGACAGAGGCCAAAGCAAAACACATTTGTTAGAGTGAGAAAGGGTCAACATTTCTTTCAATGTTTTTATAGCTGTCCTGGTGATGACCACGGCCTTTATTTTTTATATGGGTGTCACAGGGACAGGAATTGAGGGGAGTTCTCCGTAGAGGGCTCACAATCAGAGATACAAACTCTAAAAACCAGCAAGTAGGCTATATGCCCCCCTAGGAGAGGAAGTGTGTTACTGGCAGGAACACCAGGATAAAATATAGGAAACGGAGCCTTAAAAAGTGAATGCAGACACTGCATCTGAGGACTAGCTGCAATATATTGTATTTCATACATAATGATACCATGCGTATGCAGACGTTACCTTCAGTGAAAACAACAATAAAAACAGTAGATCCAGAGGTATAGGCAGCTAACATTGTATGCATATCTCAACACTCTATGCAAGTCAAGCTTGGCATCACCCCTTCTGCCTCCCTACTGTCCCTTTAATAAGATAGGCCGCCAATAGTGAGGCTTTGGTGGCAGGACCAAGCCCAATAATTGGCAATGATTTGCAGACTATTAATAATACAGAGTAATAATGATACTACCTTCGAACACCAGCCGGAAGTCCTCCTGGAGAGGTGCGGTAAGAGACTCATGTTGGATCCTATAGGAGAAGGTCCGCTTTCTGTCCTCCTCAGTGGGTGTTATTCTTACTGAGCTCCTCACACTGTATGTCCCATCCGGGCCTCTCTGAGGTATCTCCATGATAACATTATTCAGCATCTCTCCATCCCGGAGCCATTTAATGTCAATGTCCACCGGGTAGAATCCAGAGATGGCACAGCGCAGGGCACTCTCTATGTTAATAAGGGCGGTTTTATTTGTGATGGTGATC